GTTCAGATTTCAACTCAGAAGTTCCCTCTGGAAAGAGGGTCTCTCCAATGAGCCACACTCCACACCAGGATCTTTCCCAGGCTCTCCTTTTAATTTATTCATGGCATTTATTACCACTGAAATAACATGGTTTGTATATGGGTTGATGTCTGGCTGCCTCTCTGGAAGGTCGGCTCTGTGAGAATGGGACTGTCTTGTTTTCTTGTAATCCTGTACCTCACCTAGTGTCAATGAATATTTATTTAAAGACTGATAGCCCCTTGTGGCCATAGGGAGAGTACCCCAAATTCTGGCCTGCTATTCAAGGCCACCTATGACTGGCCCGACTTATAATACCTTTCTGGCTTCCACCCTACCACCTGTTCTCATGAACCCAGAGGTCTGCCCACAGCACAACCCTTAGCACACCAGGCCTTTCACTCCTCCATGCTTTTGTCTGTGCCATTCCCTCTGCCCCCAATTCCCTTTCTTCATTTTCTCACCTGGTGAACTTCTATGCAGCCTTCAAAGCCCAACCCAAATACCCCTGCCGTGTAGAGTGTAAAGCATAAAGGTTAGGGATTTAGACTAGGGTTTAAATCCTGGCCCCCACACTTCCTAGCTGGGTGACCTTGAGCAAGTGACTTCCCTTATCCTGAGCTTAGTTTCTCTGCAAAATGGGATTACTAATGCCTACTCTGAGCCATCCATCTTGCCAGCTAGACTTTTCTCATGGCACTCTCCGGAGGCCTGGAAGGTGCCTCTGTGCCCTGGGCACTCTGGCAGTATCTGAGAATGGACAGCAGGGTGGTGAGCATCTATTTATTTGGTTGCCAGCAGCCACTCCTCCTGCTTTGGCTAGCCCTCTTGATTTTCCTCCAGGAATGAACCTGCTTATGTCCCATGCACATGGTTCTGATAGGCATCCTTCTCCCATAGCTGCTGGGATAGGCATGTGACCAGGCCTAGCCAATCAGAGCATTCCATCCCCTTCTGCCACAGCAATTGGCTCAGAGGTGGATACCATATGACCCAATTCAGGCCAATGAGACACATCCTTGAGACTGCCTGGAATTATCAGTAAACGAGCCCGCCCTTTGGAGTGAGAGAGAAAAGCCAAACCTAGAGCTGGAAACATGGTTTCAGCCCCTGGATCCACGCATTCCTGAAGGCAGCCATATCTGGCTTAAGTGGGCCTGAGTTGAGACGTCCTCACTGAGACACTGTCCTCTGGGTGGCTCCAGTCTCTGGTTTCTGACTTGCCTGTGAGGGACTAGGGGCCAGGACGGAGAGGAGTCAGAGCATGTAGAGTCGGGCATCGGGGCCCCACTGTGCAAGGGAGATGAGGGAGAGTTTACGGGGTGGGGTCCTGCAGGGGGCTCAGGGGGAAGCAGGGGACACAGGGCTGCAGGGGGAAGCCGCCTGCTCCAGCCTCCTCTGGCTACCCCTGCAAAGATCCCTGGCTTCTGCGCTGACGGGCCGCTGCTGGGTCCTAGGGGGACCCTGCTCAGCTCCAAGGCCAGGCCTATGTCAGTCCTCACCGACCCACCTCAGCCCTGGCACCCTGGCTCCCCAATAATGCTCCCCGGGCATTTATTTCTGTATTTATTCTGCATAGAACCAAAATACTGGTTTTTCATTAAAAGCAATGGCTGCCTCTAGGGCCACTAGGCTGCATGACTGCAGGGGCACCCTGACTATCAGGCACCCTGCGTTCAGTCTGTACAGTTGTCTCTGTGGCCTGAGTCCCCAGGTGCTGTGGTGCTAGAGAAGGAAGGGGATGGAGAGGGAGTCAGGGTCCCCACCTGAGCTTCCTGGGTCCTTCCCCACCTGGAGACCTTCCAGGAAGGATGGTGGGGGAGATTACTGTTAGCACACATCACCCTTGGCCCTCGCACAGGAAGCACTGGACTCCAAGAGAAGGGCTGTGGCCCGGAGGAAAGGAGGGCCACAGTCCGGCCTGCAAGAAAGGGATGGGCTCCCCTGGGAATAAGACCCCCTCCACCCACCCAACTTCTTCTACACTCTCCCTTCCCCCAACCCCAGGTCCCCTAGAAGTGGACAGAGATTCCAACCTCAGGAAAGATGCTCAACCCTTGTAAACCTAGGAAAGGGATCTGGCCCCTCCCAATGCCGCCCCTGTGAACCAGCAGGTAGTGGATTTAATGTGGCAGCATGGAGACTCTCCCTGGGTGTGCCACTGGGGATAGAGGATGCAGACTGGGGATTTGGATTTTTAATATTAAAAATGTAAGGTCTGCAAGGGTAGGGATATTAGTAAGTTTTGCTGCCAGCCCTAGAAAGGCACCTCACATGAGCACGTGTCCAGCAAATATGTGGTCAACAGGGTTACATTGCCATGCCCAGGCTGGGACACAGAGGAAGCAAAGGGGACATGAAGTGACAGTGGAGGTGCCGCTGGGACCCTGGGGTGAGGGTGGGTGTTGAGGGCAGCAGTATCCTGGACAGCTGTCCCACCTTGCCCCCAGCATCTTCCTCATCCCCAGGACCCTAGGCACTAGGTCAGCATTGGTGGAATCCTGGGGGCCGAGGGGTGCCGGGGTGGGCTGCTCCAGACTTCCCCACTAGTAAATGGGCAACAGGGGCCCCAGGCCTATAGTGGCAGCCTTTCAGGGGTCCCCTGCCCAACGTGTGGCAACACCTTCTGCTTCGGAGAAGGAGGGGACGGTGCCAGACCTACCTGCCTGGAGTAAGGTGCTGACATTCCTCTTGTGCCGCGGAGCCCTAGCCCCAGGCCAGAGGCCCACCCCCACCGCACCCCCTTCCAACTTGGAACACAGCTTCAGGGACATGCTCAGAGATGCTGAAAGCCCTATTGAGGCCAGTTTCTGAGTCCCTGGACAGCAGGGTCCACCTCCAGCTGGACAGTTGGCAGAAGGCCTTTCCACCCAGCTGTTTCCCTTGGGGTCTGCCAGGTGCCTGTGGGCCCAACATTAGCACACCCTCACTGGCTTCTGGGGTCAGGGGCTTTAGCTCATGGCTCGGGGGGTGGGGGAAGAACTAGTAGAGGAGGTTGGGTAGGTTGGCTTGATTAACCTTCTTTTGTCATGGCCAAGGTATTCACATGGTAGGGAAGACCAGTGGGGCACACAGCCCAGGCAGACTAGGAAGGGGAACCACAAGGCCCTCTCTCTAGCTCCTGCTCTCTTGGGTTTTGCAGGAAAGGGTCAAAAGGAACAAAGCACAGAGAGTGACCAGTACCTTGGCTCATTTCTCTTCTTTAAGACCTGGCTAGAGGAGGAGAGGAGGTAGCAGGAGAGATGTGTCCAGGCAGGGGAGACACATGCAACCCCAGAGATACAGACACACAGATGCGTACCCAAATGTACCTACTCCTCTGTAGATAACCCCCAGACACACGCCCCCACACACCAGGGCCCAGATGCTCTGGCCTTTTCTCTCTCTCACACCCCACCCCAGGGGCTGAGCCCTGGGGCCTGGGAGTCCAGCTCCTGAGTAGCCATTTGTCTGTGAATGACTGGGTGGACAGAGACTGTCATGGTCATAGACCATAGGACCACAGCCCACACTGTGCTAGGGGACACTCCACTCAGCTAGGACACAGGAGCACCTGCCTTGAACTAGGAGCACCACTCCCAGATGGCCTGCCTGCTCACGGAAAAGGGGTGGTGGTAGAAAGACTGACCACAACTCCCTTCCATGGGCTTGGAGAGGTGTCTGGATGGCTGAGTCCAGGCGTGGGGGAAACAGTGTGAGTGGCAGGGTGACTGGGTAGAGCTCTGGTGAGCACTAGAGAGGCCTCTCCAAGCCCTGCTCACCTGGACCCCAGCTAAACCCTGGCCTCCAGCCTAGAAGCAGTATGGAGGTTCGAGGGAAAGCCGGAGGGGGAAGCCCCTCACCCCAGGATGAAGGGAGCACAGTGAAACCCCTAATCATGACAGCTGGCCCTAATCATGACCAACCACTTTCTGTCTGCTATCTCATTCTCATCTCCCCAGAAGCCCTGTAAGGAAGAACTTGAGCACCCCATGTGATAGATGGGAGTACTGAGGACCTGGGAGGAGAGGGACTAGGTCATCCAGCAGGTAAGGCTGTGGAATGACCCTTATCCACTAATCTAGACCCAGCCAGGTGGGTGAGTGCCCCCCCCCAAACAGATTCCTCAGCCTCATCTCTTGGGCCACCTTGACCCCGCTGCCCACAGTCCCCGCCCACCCTGGGGCGTGATTATTTACTCCCTGGGACCCTGCCTGGGAGTCACCAAAGATGAGACTCTGAAGATTCTCACAGAGCCCACACAGGGAGGGGGAGGAGAGTGGAGACCTACCCCTTACCCACATATCCCTGCCCCCTACCCCAACACACTCACACCCAGGAAAGGCAAACAAAGCCAGAGATGGGAACACACTGCTGACTGGGCATGTCAACCTCCAGGTGGACTGTGTAGCCTGCAGGTTAGCCATCCACACCTGTCCCTAAATCTCTCTGGCCTTAGTTTCCCACTTTGTGAAATGGGGAGGAGATGAAGCGTCTGGCCCAGAGCAGCTACTACACACTGCGGAGTCATGGCTAGCTGCCTCGGTTTCCCCAACCAGACCATGCAGTGGGTGCAAAGGAGCCCCAAGTTTTTCCCCGTGGGAACTTCAGGTGGAGCAGGGCGGTAGCGCCTGTGCCACAGAGGGCCCGCCTTCAGGACCAGGCGGCCTGAAGCTTCCCCAACCCACCCAAGCTTATGCCAAGGGGCTTCGGGGCGCCAAGGGGCTTCGGGGTAAGGTAAATGAGGCTGCCTTCCTGGGTGGACCCAATGCCCTCTAACACCCACAACTGACCCGGGTCCCTGGGCACAGGCTGTGAGGCCCCAAACGATCACGTCTCCTGGGCGTTGAGAGACCAACTCCCGAGGGGCGCAACACCCTTGTGGGGAGCTGGGGCATGGGCGGGGGCGCCTAGAGCCTTTCTTCCCCCCCCACCCCTACCGCCCACCCCCAGCCCCGGAGGAGACAGCAGGTGCCCCGTGGAGGGGCCCGACGGGCACTCACCTGGGCGCAGGGCACGGGGCGCGGCGCCCAGGAGTAGGAGCGCGGCCCCCAGACACGCGGCGGCCAGCGCACGCCGCCGCCAGCAGCGCCTCCCCATGCTGCGCGGGGCCCGCGGGCCTGCAGTCCGCCTTGTCCGGCGGGGGGGCAGCAGTGCCTGGCCCGCCCGCTCCGGCCCGCCCGGCGGCGCGTACCAAGGCACGGCACGGGGGTGCGAGGGCCCCGCTGGCGGGCGGGCGGGTGGCGCGGCGGCCGACCGCTGGGGACTGCGGAGGTGGGCAACGGCGGGTGGCGAGCCTTGCTCGTCCAGCCTCCACGCCCTACACCCGAACAAGTGGGGCAGCAGTCCAGGGCGCAAAGGGTGGAGACTGGGTGGAAAGAGCCCTGTCGCCCGGCGAGGCTCCGCCCCCTTCAGTTTGCCCTGGGGATACCATCCTCCACCCGAGGCCAAGAAGCCTTGTCATCGAAGTGGCAGATGGGTGGGTCGGAAGAGCACTGTGTCTTCTTGTGTTTTTTTGCTGCCTTGCATGCCAGGGGGCCAAGGGCTGGTATGGGGAGCAGCCCTCTGTACATAATCCCCTCCCCCATCTTCCATCCCCATCATCAGGCCTAAGAGTACCTCTTATCTCCCCCAAGGCCAGCCTGTAGGCTTGTTTTCCACAGGTGTCTCCAGGTCCTGCCTGAATTCTGGCTCATGTAGGTCCTGGCCAGCTCTGGGAGGAGAGGTGGGAGTTCTCAGTTCCTGCCCTGCTAGGCGTTAGGGCTGTTGTGCCTCACCTGGTCCTGGCAAGGGATCCACACTCCAGGTGAGCACTCAGCTTGCACAGGACTCCTGTGTGTGAGGGGATGAGAGTGAAGTCCCGCCTTTGAAAGAGAAACATCCAGCTAGCCTTGTGGGGTGGGGAGACCAGGAACCAGGCCTGACCCTAGCGCCTTGCTGCCCAGAAGTCAGGCTAACAGGGAACCAAGGGTGCAGCTGATGCTGTGTGCAGGTGTGTGCATGTGCACTCGAGTCAACACTTGGCGGTGTGAGTGTGTGGGAAGGGGTCCTGCAGTAAACTACAGTTTTATAGCTGCTCTTGAAAAATCCGATTCCAAACCCTGCAGGTGCCATTTAATCACCGTGTGAGATCGGGAAATTTGCCTAACCTCTCTGTGCCCCAATTCCCTGTACAATGGATCAGTGAGTGCCATCTAAATCCTAGATGTTAGTGATAAATTAATTTATTTTTACAGTTACTGCCTGTTTCTGGCAAAAGACTGGTTTCTCTTACAGTGGTGATACGAAAGTTCCTTCCTATTACATTTTTTGAAGTTTTAAAGGTCTATTTGAGGAAACATGTTAAGTAAATAATAGTTCTGTTGGCTTAAAGATATGGCTCCAAATGGTGATGATACGTCTCAAATAGCAGAGAAGTGGGAAATGCAGCTCACAGATAAAACCAGAAGCTCATTATTATGGCTTTCCAAATGACCGGACAGAGAGCCTTGGGACGCGTCCCGCTCAGTCCCTGTCGGGCCCTCAGGCAGGGCTGTCGCTGCTTTGGGCCCAGGGCCCAAGGATTTCCAGCCATGCACATGCCCAGTGGGCCCCAAATCTAATCTACACTTGCTTTCCAGATCCTACCACCCTCCCCCCACAGTCTCTGTAAGGGGTCCCAGCCTCTGGGGCCTTTGGGCAGGAGTCCTGGTTTCCTGGGCTGCCACCTGGTGGCCAAAGCTGAGAACAATGTCTCAGTCTATCCCTGTGGAGAAAATTCCTGGAGACCTGATCCCTGGAGGCCCATGGTGGGGGGGTGCCTTAGTGTGGGGTCTTGGAATGGGGGGGTTGGATATGCCTTGCCAGAGGCCCAGGGCCTCAGTATCTTCCCTGTGAAGACACCTTCTGCAGCCTCTGTCCTCTCAAAGGGGCTCACGTTCATTTCTTCAGCAGATACTGAATTACCCACTCTGCGTGGGGGCTCCAGGGGAGAGAACAAGATAGGCTCTTTGGCCTCATGGAATTTACATTATAGAATGGGGAGGGCATAGAAAGCAGGAAAAAATATATAAGACCATGCAAGGTGGTAAATGGTGCAATACAGAGAATAAAGCAGGATAAGGGATGGGAAGTATGTATCCGCACATAAGGAGCGAGGATATAGCAGGGGCAGACCTCAGGGAGGATGTGACACTTGAGCAGATATGAGTCAGGGGAGGAGGAGCCACACAGGCATCTGGAGGAGGACATTTCCAGGCAGAGGACCAGCCCTTGATGAGGCCTTGATACGACGTGCCAGTAGCGATTACCTAACAAGTTGCCCTAAAATTTAGCATCTTAAAACAACCATTTAAATTTTGCTCACAAGAAAGACAATTATCATATGATTTCACTCCTATGTGGAATTTAAGAAACAAAACAGAGGAACATAGGAGAAGGGAGGAAAAAATAAAATAAGACAAAATCAGAGAGGGAAACAAACCATAAGAGACTCTTTAACTCTAGGAGACAAACTGAGGGTTGCTGGAGGGGAGGTCGGTGGGGTATGGGGAAACTGGGTGATGGGCATTAAGGAGGGCACTTGATATCATGGGCACTGGGTGTTCTATGCAACTGAGGAGTCACTAAACTCTACCTCTGAAACTAATAATACACTATATGTTAATTGATTTCAAATAAAATAAAAAATTTTTTAAAATAAATTTTGCTCACCATTTTGTGGGTCAGGATTTGGGGAAGGGGCTGAGTTCGATGCTTCTCCCTGGGGGTCTCATTCTACTGCATCAGATGGCAGTTGGGACTGGCTGGGTTGGCCATCCCTGATGGCTCCCTCATGCGCCAGAGCTCAGCTGGGCAGTTGACCTCAGCACCTCCATATGGCACACCCCAGCCTGGGGTCCCGGGGTACTTGGGCTGCTCCACAGAGTCTCAGGCTTCCTTCTGTTGGTTACCCGATAACCACGAAGTTTGGCCCAGACTCAGGCGACAGGACCATACCCTGGCATCACTTGGAGAAGCACCCAAGCAAGGATTTGCTGGCATGTTTTAAAACCACCACCGGTGTGAACAAGGGTCGACGAGAGTGGATGGAGAAGTCAGAGAGGCAGACAGAGAGTCCATATCCCCAGAGTGTCTTAGGCCACAAATGGATTATTCTAAGCAGTCTGCAGCTGTGTTGCTAATCAACTGGAGGTGGCTGGGAGGAGGTGGGGCACCCAGGAGAGAGGCTGGTGCTATCTCTGGGAGAGAAGATGTGCATGGACCAGGGTGGGGTGGGGTGTCCAGGGTATATTTTCAAGTTAGAGGGGTTGGGTCAGGTGGTTCAGGAGAAGGTGCCCAGGGTGGCAGAATGGATGGAGGAGAAGGAGGGGAAGCTGGGACCAGGCCGATGTTTCAAGAGACAGAAGTCCTGCCTGGCTCAGGAAAGCCAGCCGGATACTGCAGAGATTGGGGTCCAGTGTGGCCTGGACTGGGGGTGACAGGCAGGCAGGGCTGGGCTATGTGGTGCTGGTCGCCAAGGGTTGCTAGGATGAGAGGCTGGCTAGGACAGAAGCAGCACTGGGGGCAACCAGTGGGGAAACTAAGGCAGGCACTTGGTGACTGGAGAGAGACCACATCAAGCACCAGGGAGGCACATACTGAGCGAAACTGGGTTTGGCTTGTAGTGCCTGCCTGCCTTTCTTTACTCCTTATTAGTTTAAATTTTTTATTTATTTGGTTTGTCCATGGAGCAAAATTCAAAACCACTAGAGGTTTTTTCAATTGAGGTGAAATTTACATACCATAGAATTAATCATTTAAAGTGTACAGTTCCGTGGCATTTAGTACACTGACAATGTTGACAGCGCCAGAGTTTTACAATGAAAAGTCTCCTTCCCTTTCCCTCCCTAGTTCTTTGTAGTGTACACACACACACACACACACACACACACTTTCTCTTTATTTTCTGTACTACATACATTGCTCTGTTCCTTGCTTTTTGATACAGGCCAACAATTGGAAAACTAACAATATCTTAGCAAATGTTTATTCTGTAACAGGCAATAAGACCTTTACATGTATTCTCATTTAATCCTCGGACACATCCCATGAGGTAGGTACTATTATTACTTTCATTTAACAAATGAGGAAACTAAAGCACAGAAAGGCTGAGTAACTTGTCCAAGGACACACAGCTAGTGAGTGGTAGAGTCAGTCTGGCATATGTAACATCCCTGACCTTCTCATCCTTTTACATAGCTTGTACGATGTTTTAAAAATGAAGCTATTTATTTTGCGATTCTTGTAGATTCATGTTGTAAGAAACAATCCCATGTGCCCAGTTCTCCGATTGGTAATATCTTGCAAAACTGCAGCACAGGGTCACAACCAGTTCGTTGACGTTGATAAAATCCACCATCTTGTTTAGCACAATGTTTAAAACCATCTTTTAAATGATTGCAAACATTTCAAAATGAGGAGACCTCACAAAAAGATTTCTGGCTTACCTTGAGCCATCAGAAGATGAGGTCTGCCAGGGAGACTGCAAGAGTGGCTGGGAGGGTGTATAGAGCCAGAGCTCTGGGTTCTGAGGGTTCAGATCCTAGCACTACCAATGACCAGCTGGGTGGCCTGAGACAGTTCCCACCGCCTCTCTCCACCTCAGCTTCCACATCCATAGAATGGGACAGTGAACTCCACAGGGCCAATGAGGGGACAAAGTGAACTGGATCACATGATGTGCTCAGAAGATGTTTGTTGTTCTTTTCCCTTTGCCTTGTGCAGGTACTGCACTGGGTGCTTACGCAACCCATTTGTGCCTCCTGCAGCCTGAGTGGTAAATTACCACCCACTTTTGTAGATTGGGACACGGCCCAAGGCCACAGGGCCAGTCAGCAGCTGAGCTGGATTACCACCCAGATGTGTTGCTTTCCCAGGACCACCAGGATTCTATTGCTGTCGCTTCCTGGCCATGTGAGACCTGGGCCTCAGTTTCCCCATCCGTAGCACAGGACTGATTAGGAGCACCTTCTTGCAAAGTTGTTAATGAAATCGAGGATGAGAGCCATCTCCAGGTGGGCCCTTCACAGAGAGCTTTGGGAAGGGGATGAGGCAGTGTGAACCTCATTGGGAGTCAAGGAAGGTACACCTGCTGCTGGGGGGGCTTCTGCCATGCCCCCCACATGGGTGGCAGGGAGGAGGGGTACAAGGAGCACTGCCTGCCTTCTGCACAGACCCTGCATTCTGTGCCAGCTTCATTATCACATGGCTCCCCATCACCAAGATACCAACCCAACATCGCCTGCCTGCGGTAAGACTGCCAAAGCAAACCCCAACATCAGAGCCCCACCAATCTCTCCAAAGCTGTGTCCTAGAAAACGCAACCCCTCAAGGCCAACATCCCACTAACAGGACAAACAGACCCCTATGTAGCAGTCTCCCCTGCATGAAGTCTGCCTCTCCCCAGAGCACTGCCCCCACCTCAGGTCAACACTGCAGGCAGGCAGGCTAGGGGCCAATGACCCAATGACCTATACTTGGCTCCTTCTGCGGGCCCTGGGCCCAATGAGGGGCTGGAGGAGGTGGCTCTGGAGCAGGAGGTCCCCGCCCAGTGGGACCATGACTGCCCAGTCTCGGCCTGGCCTCCCCACAGAGCTGGCCTCCGTCTCAGTCTCAGCCAGACATGTCCAGCCTCCAGGCACTATGCTCCGGCCTGCCACTGCAGCCCCTCCCGGAGAACCGGGGCCGCTGGGCTGGGGTGCCCCACGCACCGGTCAGGACACCCGGCCTCAGCCCCGCAGAGGAGCAGGTAAGAAGTCGGGCCCCATTCCCGCAGGGCCTTTTGCCCTCTGGGTGCCCTCCAGATGGTCCGGGTGGGCATTTCCTATTCCTGCTGTATCTGCGGGAGCTGCAGCTTCTCAA